CAGTTACTATTTTTGCTGTCATTATAATAATAGAAGTCGTATTTTATAGTGAAAGGTAGCAACTGTAATGTAGCCAGAAAGATATCAACTGAAAAACCAGTTGCATCTGTACGATTTGTTGCAGGATCTATTGTAACATTTATGAATTGTTTGAATCCACGTGCCATAGGAACCCCAACTCTCAATTTTCCTGTTGCAGAAATAGCCCATCCCTTTGGCTGCGTGACACAATCTCCAGGCCAAATGGCATTTTTGAGATTTTTTGTGGATGTTGATTTTTTTGCTTCGCCAGTTGAACTTAATTCTCTGGATATTCCTTTTTCTGGTGTCCAAAACCCCAAAGTTCTCTCTCCACTTCCAATTACATTTAATATCTCAAATACTGAAGGTTTCAATTGTCCATTAATGAACTGAAAGTCTCCTATCAGGCCTCTAAATTTTGTACCTGATAATTCGCTGAGAAGTCTTGGTCCATATGCTGAGACTTTCAAATCGGTATTGCCTGTTCCATTTTTGCTGGTGTTCATATATAATGAGCTAGCATTTACAGGCCCAATCTTCTCAGCTGCCATTGCTAAGGAGCATACTGCATCGTACACCCACAAACCATAGACATTTACCTCCCCAATTGAACCCATATTCATTTTCCAACTTTCATGGAAACTGTTAAGCTTTTCTGATCGCTGCACACTGGGCCTTATACCCAAAACACCTTCCATGGAATCACGGACAACAAAATCCATGGAACTCAAGAAGTTAGATAAATATTCGGTAATAATCCATGCATACTCTTCACTCATCATTCCTGCATTCTTGGCATGAAGAAATAGTCGAGAACCAAGTGACAAGTTCATGTGCACTAAGAATACCCTCGTTTTCTTTGCAATAAGTTTGTTGAGTTCTTTAAATATTTGAATGTCCTCTGATGTGATGGCACTCATATACGCTATCCCAATTTCAACTTCTTGGAATGCCTTATTCAGATGCCAAAGAAAATGATTGAAATATTCCGTGTCTTCATACAAAATCACTACTTCAGGCCATTTAAATTCTTGGCAAATGGCTGCAAGAGCTTGAGCCTGATACAGATCATCTGGCGTTGTCCTAACATAGTATCGATTTTGTGCACCGGAAATAGTTGAGCTTCTGGCACTGAAAGAAATGACTGGCACATGAACTTTTCCTCCAAGTTCTGCAACAAATTTGTCTTCTATAGCACCCTGTGGCCCCAAAATTCCATGCACTTCTTCATACTTCAGTAACTTTTGAACTGCATAACATATCAAAAACAATATGATTGTCTTCAGATTTGCAAAAGGACAGGGCATACTAAGTGAACTATCAACATTACATTAAAATATTCTTGGCTAAGTTGACAATCTAGAGGTGGTATTTACCAAGTGAAATAGAAAGAACAATTGATGTAGTACAATACTCGAAGAAAATGGATGGTTGTTTTTGAAATACTTACGTTGCTTACAAAATTTTGTTAATTATATCGATTACAATTGCATACGCAGAAGGAAGTTTTTTGATGTTGAAGTTGATCAAAACTTATATAAGATCAACTATGTGCCATGAAAGATTGAACGAATTGCAGGTGTTATAAATTGAGAAAGAAATAGATGAACTAGTTTATCCAAATTTGCTTAATATTTTAACCTTTAAGATTGTGAGGCAGGTAATGTTTACGTGATCATTTGGAACATTTTGGCATTGTTGTTCAATTAGAGTATAAATATCTAGAATATTATACCGTATTTATCATTTCATTGTTGAATTTTAAGTTAAGCATTAGTTCCGCAAAACTCTTATGAATGGAAAAAATAAAATACATACTACGATATGGGATTCTAATTTTTAAAGTTGACCTCAAGTTCTGGAAATCTCAAGTACGACTCTAGATCTCTCGTGACATGAGCCATAAATATGCTTAATTTTATCCAAACACGCATATTCATACTAAAAAATTTACAAAGTTAACTTTCTTATATCAAATTTATACACATGCAACCACCAGACTGATGGATGTAGTATTACAAAAGATATTATTTAAATTAATTTTAAATTTTAATTCCTCCTGAATTCTTTCTTCTGCTTTCTCTTTTGTCCTTCTAATTCTCCTTCCTTTTCTATGTCCCTCTTTTTTATCTCCCTCCTTTATTTTTTTTCCCTATCCCCTTTCACCTTCTCCTGTAACTGTTTCATGGCATTCTCTGTCACTAACTATATTACCATTAACCAAAACTAGACTATTATTTAATGCAACTAGCTA